AAACTGAAATATCATTTAACATACTGATGAATATTAGGAATCATTTATCCTTCAACATACTTATGAGTGTATTTCATCAATTAACAAATTTATGAATATTTGATAATCTCTATTTTATAAATTTTCAATTATTTTAAAAAGTATGGAAAGTATGAAAGGGAAAATTTTCAATAACGATATATAACAATATGTGTATATGAAAAAATAATTATAAAATATAAATAATTTATTTTCAAATCTAAAAATCGATCGTCCAATTTAAATTTTTGATTTCAGGAAACCTAGGATATATCTGATGCTATATAATGAATAAGCAAAATCGTTACATAAACAACAATACATATCTACTAGAGATAGTTCAGGTATTTCAAATGTGGAATTCAAATAACAATTATATGATGCCGTTCATGATGGGATCATCCAATTGATTAAACACGAAACATACGCTTCCATTTCTTCAACAATAGTAGTGTAGCATTTATATTCAGATTATTGGAATCCGGATTTGGACTATAATCGTTAATAAGCAAATACGGTACTTCCGAAATACGATTTGGTTTAGCGGACATCGTACGATAAAATGCTTTTTGTTGTAATTGTATACCACGTTTTGAATGATAACACTTTCTGTAATTCTTTTTCGTTTATTTTTTAAATAATAAAATAATTCGAAATATGTTAATTTTATTAGTATTTTTTTCGTTCCCTAATAATAATAAAATTGATATGCAAAATTTTCAACTTAATTAAATGTTGAAAAAAGGTTAGAAGAATTTTACGTTGTAACTAAATGATTATTTTTACTTTTTCATGTTACTTATAAATCTTTTCCTTTTTATTTTTTTATAGAAAAGCAAAAAATATGGACCTAATTTGTTCGTAACGATTACGGATAAAACCGGAACAGTGTTTAATTGCGGATTTTATATCACCGGTATTACGGAGGAGAGATCGTTCGAAACAAATGATAAAAGCCAAAGCATGCTTCATTTCTGCATATTCCAGCACACAACTTTGGAGTTTATTAGCTTCACATTCAATTGAACCATGTCTACATCGTATGGTACCATCCTAAAATTACAAAAATAATCTTTTATTACAAATAAGAGATCAATTAATTTTTTAAAAAAAACATTTATCTTTTCTTCTTTTTCTTTCTTTTTTTTTTGGATTGATATCATTGGTAATTTATCTGCCTGCTTGTGTATTTCGATTTTTGCATGCAAATCTAAATTTTAAAAAGATTTGAAATTTTATCATTTATCTTTAAATCAATGAAAGCATATTAACAATCATTTTTCTATCTCATAATTATATGCTAAATTTTTTAATTATCAAATATTTTTATAGCAAAAATTTCTATTTTATAGAAAAGTTGAGAATTTCTCAAAAAAAAAAAAAATTTCTTAAGTAAAAAAAATGAAAATTCGTAACATATTTAACCTTTTACAAAGTTAAAAAAAAAATTTGCTGTTCAAATGGATGCATTAATCAAAATTTGCTCCACTTTTTTGATTTTTTGTTTTATTTATTTATTTACCTTTTTTTTGCTATTTAATTTTTAAAAGAAAACGATGATTGTTAAATTTTAATAAGTAATTTGTAGAAATTTCTAATTTTATTATTATTAATATTATAACATTAACCTGTAATGGAAGGGAGTGAAATGTAGATGATGAAAAGAATGAAGAAATAATTTAATTGAGAATGAGAAACAATCTAGCAACGAAATTTTATTATTTAATTTGTATTTTAATTTTTAACAATAATATTTATCAAAAATGAAATGTAATGGAATACTTTGTTAAATTTAATCAAATTTTATCATATCGATTTTTCTATTTTAGATTTTATCAGATTTTTTTAAAAAATCTTATCAATATTCATTGATACCGTGTGCTTTATTTAATGAAAATCTAGTATTTTCTTAATTGTATCCTTCTTTGTATTGCTTATTTAACAAATTTTACATTTTCTCAAAATTTTTCCCAAATTTTTTTGATCATTAGCTTTTCCTTTTTCTTTTTTTTTTTTTTTTTTAAATTTTCGGAACTTTGTTAACTTCCCTTTAACATAACGAATGATATATGAGCTGTAAAGTTGGAAAACTATGGAAAGTGTAAAATAATAATTTATGACTAAATTTAAAAATGAAACTAAAGAGAAGACTTCAAAGCAAATCTTTATGATCATTTCTCAGAACAATGAAATGATTTATTTACACTGCCAGTTGACTAATCTTTAACGTCTCTAAAAACTTTTAAAACTTTTATATTATTTTTTCAAATTATAAGCTACCTATGCTTCACTTATGCTAAAATTATCATTATCATACAGAACATTTTGTACATTTATCAGTCAGTGATAATGCTGCAAAAGATGCTCTAAAGCTCATAAAGCAGCTCCAATGCTGCATTATACAAATATTAATTTAATATTAAACTAAAAATTTGACTAATATCAACGAATTTGTTAAAAATTGTAAATTTAGCTAAAATTTATTCCAGCAATACTTTGGGAAAAAAAGATTAAATTTTTCGAGAAAAACGTTTATTTAAATATTTATGAAAACCAATTAAAATCTGAAAATTACCATTTTTTATGGCAAATAATTAATAAATGAATTAGAAATTGGTAAAAAGGCTGTTTGTTTCTTTTTTTTCCCTTTTCCATTAAATGAATTTAGGAAAATTGAAAGTTTGTTTATTTGTTTGTTTTTCTTTTTTTTTCATAAATGCATGCGATAGTATTTGAAACAAATTGTGGCAAATTTACTTTTTTTTTTCTCAAAAGGAATTTTTTGTTAAAATTAGAAAGTTTTAATAATCGAAAAAGTTTGCTTTTTTTTTAAAACTTTTTACTGTCAAACATAAAAAACTGGAAAATTGAAAATTAAAAGAAAGAAAAGAAGAAAAAAGAAAATCGAAATGCAATAACAATAATAATACCAAATGTATTTGCTCCATTGTTTTTTCTTCAAAAATTAATAAGCATAAATTTAATTTAATATATTTAACAAACCCACTCATATTAATTATCATCTTTTCACATTTGCTTTATTAGCTGTATCAAACAATAATTATTGCAATAGCTAACAAATATCATTTAAATGATTCTGTAACGTTTTCCCTAGCATACTCAAGAAATTAATTAACTAAAATCAAAAATTTTAATTTTACTTTTTGAAATTGGTACAAAATATGAGTTAATTTTATTTAAAAAAAAAATAACTTCGATAAAGCATGAGAAAAAAAAATTTTTCTTTTTCGTTAATTTCATAGCTAAGACCTGGTAGGTTTGTTAAATTTAACAAAAATGGAACATTAAATGAATTTATTTTAATTACCATTAAAATATTTTTCCTTTTTCATGCACCAATTTGGGCAAAACTGTGGTTCAAAATTAAATCTTCACTTTTTCCAAAAAATTTTAAACTTTTAACATTTGATTAATAAATGATAAACATATATTATTACAAAATATTTTTGGAAAGAAAAATAATTGAAAATCTAAAATTAATTAAAATATCACTAACTGGAAGAAATTTCGAACCTCCCCATGGTATCATTTCAAGTTTAATAAATCGATGGAATTGATTGTAAATATTTCCAAGATGTTTTACAATAAAACGTTGACAATATGGGCATAATGCTTCATAGTACAAACTTAATTTCATCGGTAATTTCATATTTCGAAATTGATCACATTGTTGTATCACATTACAACGTTTAGCTGATTCAAGGCTATCACACCATAATTCGGGCGGAATATCACAACACTGAAATTATTAATTATTATTTAATAAAGTTATTGATTATTACTTAATAATGAAATTTTTTTACTTAATATTAAGCATTATTAATTATTGGCTAATATTAACTATTACTTACTATGCCAATTATATATTAAATGTTATTAATTGTCATTTAATTATAAAATTCATTACTTAATGTTTACTATTAAATATTGTCAAGTATATACTTAATGCTGATAATACTATTTGCTATTACAACTATTTATTATTCCAAATAGTACTTAATTTTTGATCAATCATAATGGAATTGAACAAATCAATCAAGAATGAAATTATCCAAACAATTAATTAAATAATTAAAAGTGTTATATACGAAATTACTCTACCATAGAAACGATATAGGAAATTTTTTTCTATAATAAATAAGTAAATGAGCAATAATTTGACCTTTCTTTTTTCTAACGAACTTTACTTGACCCTTTTATTCAACAATTTCTACTGATTTAATAATATTTTAGAAATAATTCTATGAATTGATTATTCTCATTTATTATTTCTTACATTTATAAAAGTTGCTTTCATATTATTAGATACCAAAAGAAGCTACTTATTTGTCATCTTTTTTTGCATCCATTGTCCTCAGACATCTTCAACTTCAAAAAATAAAATACAAAAAAAAAAGTTGGAATATCCTTTTCTTTCTTTTTTTTTTATACCTACAATGATAATTGAAATACTTCGATGATGTCATTTCACTTTTTTTTTAAAAAAGGAAGAAAATGAATCCATCAACGAGTTTAATTTCCAATTTTAGAAATTTTCATTTTTTCCGTTTGCCATATAAATAAATCACTCTTTACTTTTTTCCCAGTTTTCTTTTATTTTCAAATTTGCATGGATATTAGTTTTACTCCATGAAAAAAATTTAATGCCTTTACGACGGATAATTTCTCATTTTTTTTCTCTCTTTCCAGCTTTGCATAAAAGAAATTATTTTAAAGTATTCATTTCTGATATTTGAGGTGAAATGAATTTTTTCCTCCAATATCATAAGAGCATTGGAAGTTGTCTACTTTCCGCTTTCTAATAGCCACAAAAAAAATTTGTGTTCACTTATATCTTTTGAAATTAACGAAAGAAAATTCTTTTTTTTTCTTTAGAAGAAAGCTAAAGTAAAGGAATAACCAATTGTGAATATTATATTTGAATTGGAAATATTCAACAGATAAAATATATGAATGATTTCATTATATTTAATAATAGCATAGATCAAAAATTTATTTCATATTCCTTAATAAGATATTTATTTAGTATATCACATTGTATTATAAATCGCAGCATATATTTTCGATAAAAATTTGAATTGGAAATATTTAATCAAATATTTTAACAATAATGATTTATCTTCTCCTTTCTTTTTTTGAATATAACACACTGAAACATTTGTTTCGGACACGACTTTGTTGTAAATCATTAATTAAGAATAAATTGTACAAAATGATTCAAAATTTGAAGGAAAAAAAATGGAAATGAATAAACAACAAAACAGTCTTAATAATAAAAATATTGAAATTTTCGTTTTGTTAAAGATCAATTAAATGGTAAAACTTATAATTTAATGAAATTTTTTGTAGAATTTTCCTCCCTTGTTTTTGATAGTTTGTCAATTGAATATGCTAAATGTAAACATTTAATTCAGTGACATCATCCTATCATAGCTTTTCTCATAAAAAGATAGAAAATGAATTAAAAATGGAAAAAGGGATTGTATAAATCATTTTACAGGAAAGTAGTGCATAAAAAATTTCCATTTCTATTGTAATTATATTATACATTATATTTCACTTCATTATCAATCTTATCACACCACCGTTATTATTGTTTATTATTATTATTATTACTATTGGCACTACTACTATTATTATTAGTTATTACTATTATTATTGTTATTACTGTTAATATTATTATTGACATTAATAATATGGTATTAACTAATATATATATATATATATATATATATATATATATATATATATATATATATATATATATATATATATATATATATATATATATATATATATATATATATATATATATATATATATATATATATATA